ATATCACACTAATTTCCAAAAAAGCGCCTTAAGCTATCTCCAAAAATTTCATACTCGCATTCCTATTTCTTCAACATATTTTTTTGCTTCAATAAATTTAACATTGATCAGATTAAATTGATAAAGTATACGCTAAAAGCCTTGTCAAATAAGGATTCATTTCACATTTGATATTTTTTGTGTAAGTTACATTATAGGCATATGAGAAGGGGCATCCAAAAATTTAGATCTTAATCGTGAATCAAAAATTTATTTTTAAATGAAAATGAAATTTTATATTTAATACCTTAAAAATGCATTATTGTCAAAAAATGAGTCTTTGTTGGGTTCATGGTGGTTATTGATATAAGAAGAATTTTAATTCGGTATTAAGAGTAATGAACAAGTTAAGACGATAATTGTTAACGAGAATTGGGGGTTCATGGGAAAATAAATAAATATTATGTTAGGTACCAAATTTTAAATTATTTTAATTCATCACATTCACCAAGTCACTCAAAATCACAAAACCAATTCATTATGAACATCATTTCAGGTCAATTATGAATCAAGACCATCAAACTAATCAAAAACATCATAAATTCAATCAATAACAAGGCATACTAAACCCCACTTATTAACATTATGCAAAAAAAAAATCATTTCATTATATTAATAAACAACTTAAGACGCAAAAATGATATAAATCAAAAATATATTAATTATTATACATATACTTATTTATTTTCTCAAAATGTCGATTCAGCAATATGTAAATTAAAAGATTTCGGTAACTGACTAGTTGACGTACAAGTTTATTAAAACGAATATACATGTGGGAATTTATCATTGACACAATTTGTTTGTTATTGTCACATGATATTGCATCTTTGTCACATAATAATAATATCGACGTAAGTTATTAATTGGACATAAATGATTTAGTTCTGTTGAGTATTTTAAGTTGTTTTCGAACAGGTTGAGTTATTGTTCATGAGAATTGAAATAACAATGACTAGGATTTTTAAGGGATTAAGTTAAGGTATTATTCTTGAGGAAATGGCAAGTTTTAACTAGTTTTTGATATGTTACAAGGTCATACAAGTTTGACTGTTCTGTGTTAAGGTTAGATTCTTCATCCTTATGTAACCTTTATCATTGAGTCTAAGTTCTTGACACAGCACTGCTAATACGTCCAATAATCCGTAACAAAACATCCCCAAACAAGCAAATAAATTCTAAATAATTTCATTTCACTTTTCAATACCCTTAAACCCTCAACAAAAGTACCCTAACCCAAACAATATCCTCAATTTAATTAATTATCCCTTAAACCCATAAACCACGCAGATGCGTGCATTCACAGGTAAAAAATACAATCAAATCTGACCGATTAGACAAAGACTTCAACATTTTTAATTCTAATAAATCACCTCGCAATATAAAAACTTCAACTTTGGGTTTCAAATGTTAAGTATACCTGGAATTCCATTCAGCATTGAAAAAAAAATCTTCTTTACAAAATTTTCTCACCGATGATTCTCGGCTGGAGCCTCTTCCGCAAGTCGAAACGTTTTTTATACACGATCTTTTGCGATACATAATCTGAAAGGAGAAGATCAGTATAGTAGTTCAGCAGTCTGTACACATACTAAATATGATAATTAATTCTTTAATTCTTTAATGTCTTTCTGGCAGAATGCAGTTGATTGTTAAAATGATTCTATCAATGACCGAGCATACAAGACAAAAAAAAAAAGAAAATGTAGATGAAAGCAATCTACAAGCATAATACTTTAATGTCAATCTCTATTCATCTCGTGATCTGTTAATGTCAGTTAATATTCCATTAAGAGCCACAAAAGGCACAGTAACATGTAAAAAAAAATATCGACTAAAAATCTTAACGAAAGCGAGGAGATGTGTAACGAAACAAAATTGAAAATTATTATCGAGGAATAAATCTCGCTCTTTGCCATGCATACATTATTGGAATGTTCTGTTTCATTTGCTTCCAGTTCTTCACGAAAAAAAAATGTTGTGATCTGTTTTTAGCTGGATATTTTGGAAACAAATCGAAAAGATTAATTCAGTTTGGGATTGCAAAAAGGACATTTACATTTGAAAACAAAATGGTGGACAGTTCAGATCAAAAAATAAGAAAATACATGCTAAATGTTCCTAAAATTGAAAAATAACTCTTAATTTATGAGCTTGCCATCTTTTTCTACAGTTTGAGGAACTATTTGGTTTTCAGAATTGTTTAATTAGAACTCAAATCACAAAAAAACTTTTCGAACTGGAAAAAATGTAGTTTCTTGCCCTTAGAAAATTTTTTGTGAATACTAAAGTTCAATAAATTAATGTCAATATATAATAAATCTGATGTTTCTCCTTTATAATCCCGAACATACAATTCATAAGCGCTTTCCTCCAAAATTCACAGCATTTTTCACCAAACGCTTTATTTTCATCAGACATTAACTTAAAAACATATATGAAACTTGATTTGTAAACACGCTCATGGTTCATTCCTTACTAAAATGTTTCTTCCTCTCTTTTGATCTCTTTAATTATTTCTGTTCTCAAAAAATATCAAAAATTCAAATTGATATTTTGCTGCTTCTGTACTTCTGTAATAGAATATAAGAACAAAAAAGAATTCTTTCAACCATCCTGCGATGTCTAATTGAAAATGAACATTTCATATTACTTATTTAAATTGGAATAAACGTTCACGTATAGTCAATGAAGTCTTAATTGGTCTTTATATCTACATATATTGCTTTTGGTTCTTTATTTAAATGATGGTCGCTTTAATGGAATGTCTGATGCTTTTGAAGGCTCTCCTTCTTCTGATCGTACTTTATGCCTCGAATTCCCATATCAAGACTGACTGTTTTTGTGAATTGAAATGACGTTGTTCCCTTCCATCTGAGAAAATCAGAAGCTCAAATGTGGAATGTATACAGAATTAAAAATGAATGAAAAGATGAGAAAGAGATGGAAGAGGAATGAAAAGAGAATGTTACGAAATGATGACATGTAGTGGCGTCAACATCATGAAATGATAAATTATTATTTTCCAAAAATGAAAAAAAAAGTTCTCTTGCTGATGACTGATGAGGGATCATTTTCTATCAAATTCATAGATACAGAAGCAACAAACAATAATATTCATTAGCTGATTGTTGGTAAACGCATTCTATTCTTAGAAAGCTGTATGAGATGAAGAATGATTGGATTTTATGTGAAATATTTTGAATATTTTTTTTGTGGATGCATGATTTGATTCATTTTAGAGAATAGATTATGAATGAAAAACAATTAAAAAGTCAATTAGGATGTTAAAAATTCTAAAATTTTGGAATGTAAGGAATTTATAGAATTAAGCATGTTAGTGATTGATTTAACTGAAAATATACTGAAATTTGATAAATCTCTAGCTATTGAGTTTAAATTCTACTAGATGTAAGTGATAAATTTATTTAAAAATGTGCTGAATTAAACTAAATAAGTTCTGAATTCATCTGAATAAATGCTGAATTCAACTATATAAGTGATGAATGTATAGATTGACAATGGATGTGATGAATTCAACCGAGAAAGTGCCTAATTCAGCTGAATAAGTGCTGAATTCTACAGAATTTTTGCTGAATATTACAGAAATTGTGCTGAATACAACTAAACGAACACTGAATTCAACTGGATGTGATGAATTTAACTGAATAAGTGTTTAATTTAGCTGAATAAGTGCTGAATTCAACAGAATTGCTAAATTTATCTAGATAAGTTCTTACTAAGCGCTGAATTCATTAGAATAAGTATTAAATTTTGAATATATCGAATTCATCATAAAACCTCCAAAAACTGAACCTTCATATTTATTCAACTTATAAAATTCACAACGTCATGCGTCTCGAACTCACAAAAACTCTCCGAGCATCTCCATAAAATGCTACTGTGCAGACGTCAAACATCCTCTTCTCTTCCTTTCTTTTGTAAATTTGACTTTTTCCGCACGTTAAATTTTCAATTGATCGTTGCCAAAAAAAAAAGTCGAAAGAAATTTAGAATGGAACAATGGGTTAAACAAATCTAAATTCTACCGTTATTCTCATTATACTTCTTATTAATTCTCTTCTCGTTTTTTTTGCGATTTATTCAAACAATCGCAAGAGATACATAAAACCATATTATACGAGGCAGCATCGATTTTTTTTGCCGAAAATGTCGTAATGGCTCTTTATAGTCTTGTATATTATTTTTTCTTGTTTAATGTGTCTTTCGAATTCGTCGACTGTTTCCGTTTCAGATTTTCATGAATGAAGATTTTTCTTTTATAATGCCGCATATCAGATCTTCTTCTTTTGCGCATCTCTCTCGCTGAGGACACAAAAAAAAAAGAGTTGTATATCTCATTCTTAATCCAAAATGTTTTTATTTCGTTTTGTATCAAATGAAATTATCATTGATTTCATTAAAAGAAATACAAACAAGTTGGAAGTAGAATGAGGAAAAAAATGTCTAAATTGTATGTCGTTGGGGATTTTATTAAGATTTGTATCGTGTCAGAATATTGAGATTGAAAGAAATTCAGGGTTGTTTTTGTTGAGTTATTCACGAAAAGCACAAGTCGGTTAATCGAATATAAATCCGGCACCAAGCTTGCATGACTCTGGCATTAAGCTGGACTCAAATCGAATTCAGCCACTATGCTAGAGTTATGCCATTCGTGCTATTCGAAATCATTTTATCATTATGAATAATTTTTAATTTCTTTTACTTCACAGCTGAAAATAATCTAATGCAGTGGTTCTCAAATGGTGTGGCATGGTACCCAAATAAGTCATCAAGTTATTATACACCTTTCTTAGAGCTTGAAGTCGACTGGGCTCGAGTCAACTCAATAAACAGCTCTAACTTCAAGCTCTGCCACTAATTTACTCCTCTTCCTGAAAAACTTATATTCTCACTGAAAAAAAAACTCAACCTCAATAAAAATCATTTTTTATGTGAGCACAAAATATTAAATGTATTTTTAATTTCATTTCATTCTTTGCTTTTTAAATACATGATAAATATTTACAAGATAATTGGTGCATTTTACAATATAACTTCACTGTGAATTAGTTTTCTTAATCAATTTCATATTTTTTTTCCTGTGCACGACTCGGGTGTGCAAAAAAAAACTTAGTTCTTTTAATTTTTAAATACGAAATGAGAGAAGAAATTAAAGAGGAATTAAAGCGGTTCTACCGATACTTTTAATATTATTTTTTAAATAAGATCTTAATTTTAATTTTTTTAGGAATTAATTCATTAAGGAATAATAAAGTACATATTTTAATACGGCTTAATTTTTTTTCGTGAGAGTATGAGACATTCGAGTGATGCTTAAGTTTGAATGTGAGCTTTTTGTCATTATTTTAGTTTGCATAGTGCTATTTTACAGTGGATGGGCGAGGTGACTTGGTAGCGCAAGGCTCATGTGTGTTGCTTGCTATAAAACAGCACACGATTGAATGAGGTTCGAATCCTTAGTTTTTAAATGTTACACTCCCTTCCGAGATGGCTTTAAGGATGAATTTCAGAACCTCGTTCAAAAATCACAATTTTTCAGTAACAGCGGCCTGCGCTTGATATCAACTATTAACAAGTAAGTCACTCAACGCTCAAATTGACAAATTTTTTCAAACTTTACATCACTCAAATTTTTAAGTACTAGTTTTAATGAATAATAATAAAAAAAATTATTAAGTTTTGGTTTTCTTTCAGTTTGTCGATAAATTTGTACTTTTTACAAAAAAAAAAATAATAGTTGTGTAAGTTCAGCGTCCATCAATCAGAATATCATCTAAATTAATACAATTTAGAATGCAGCTCTCAATATTCTCAGCATCTACTGCACACTAATCATAGAATTCGCAGCCTTATTACTGAATTTCTTGTGTCTAATGTTGACAGCTTCTTCAATCTCCTCTGTCTGCTCATCAACGCAAATCGGTTCATCCTCACATTTTTGACAAATTCCAGATTTAAGGTCGCCAGCTGATGCAACGAAAATTCTTCCACATCGTACACAATTTTCTTGCTGTTCATCATCATGAGTCTTCATGTGTGCTCTTAAGTTGCAGGCGAGGGCAAATTTCTTATCACAAATGTTACAAACGTGTGGTTTGTCACCTGTAAGGAGAAATAAAAAAAGGTTTCATAAGTACATTTTGCTGGATCAATTAAAGATGAGATCACTAAAGGCGTCTATGGATGTAATGGCATATAATACAAAAATTATAAAAAATTTATTTAAATTTAATTCATTTTAATTTCCTCTTTTTGGTAGAGACTTAAAGACATTCGAAAATTGCTTTATGCAAATTTTTTTTCACTCTTATTCTCGGTGGAGATGAAACTTAAATAAAGTATTTAACTTGCTTAATAAAGTTGTATCGTGGCTTTTCGTTGTTTAACTTTGATTCTTTTTATCTTCTTTTTTCCCCTCCTCGCTTAATTATTTTATTGGAGTCTTAAACTTTTGGTCTTTAATTGAATTCGATTGTTATTCGCTTTTTCTTCATTCCCTCTTCTTCTATTCGCATGCACAGCGTTCATTTTATTGGTCACAAATGTGTTATCGAAGATATTGTGACTATTAAAGTAATTCCCTTTTGTATTGTTAAACCATACAATTACAAAGCATATAAGATTATATTGCTGATTTTAGCGTGTTTGATAGTGAATTGAGAGTTTACTATGAAGGGAAATTGAATAATGAGAATTGGATGTGGATATCAAATGATGCCGCATGAATGGATTTCATTGGAAGGAATCTGTGATTGAATTTTGATGATTTGAGTGAGTAATCTGATTGAATTTTCAATTTGCCAGTGTTGAAATTTGCTAGGCTGAACAAGGAACCCAATTTAGCTCAGTCAATTAAGAAACTCAGCACTGCTGAATTCAGTTCAGCTGAAACTAGACAATTTTCAATCAAGCTTTCACTTTATTTTCCCGAAACATCCATAAAAATTATTCCAAGAAGCCAATACCCAACAACATCCAAACAGTAGTAACTACTGCATTCTCACAACTCATAAGCATACCAAATTCATCTTCTAATCCAAAATTTTCATCAATTATTCATGAATTAAACATTAATTCTCAGAATCTTTTTAAAAAGCGAGCATCGCTAGACAATCAAAACAATGCTAGACACAATAATGACTCCTAGTCTTTAGAATGAAATCCGATAAAAACCTTAGTTTTATGTAATTTAATTCAAGCAGCATGACTCGGGCCAATGGCTTGATTAACAATTAAATCTTAGAAATAATTTTTCTGACCGCTACATGAGATTTTTTGAGCTACCGATACTGATCGCCTTGAAATTGAATTATTTGATCGAATTTTTCTTCTAGTTTAATTCGGTAGCATAATTCAAGCAGCCCAGGCACTTAATCTCCCTAGCTTTGAAATATTTGATTCTTTTTTTTCGGATGTTGAATTTTTTTTTATTGGCTTATTAATGCTTTAAAGCGTGTTCGTATGAGGCAAATACAGATAATAATCTGTTCACGAGCAGCACCGGTTAAATTTGTAAGATGAGAAGGGAGAACTAAAATCATCAATTTTTTTTTAGAAGATTTGATTAATTTTTTGCGTATACAGAAGCTACATGGCCGTGCCTCAATATAAAAAAAATATCTTTTGGCTCCGTCGAAATTCTCAATGAATATCGAATGCGATCATAAAATTTCTTTCGTCGTCTTAAACTACGTGACGCCATAAAAATCATAAATCTTGTTGATGATTTTCGAGCCACCGAATGGTTAATGAATGAACTGAAATTATTGCATGATTGCTCTTCTCTCCTGTACAATTTTTTATACACAGCATATATGAGAAGATGAGAGGAAGTGCTTCTTAACATTGTGCATTTGTACTCTTGGCCATAGGCACTCAATTAAAAATTATTCTTTATTTCTCAACATCCTTCTTTCTTGCTGTGCTTTTTCTTCTCAATGCAATTTCAGTTTCGCTTCTTTTTTTTTGCTGCTGCAGCAGCAGTATCATCAACGATCCATATTGTGGATTGAAGATGTGAATAAAAAAATGCGATTAATTTTATTAAAAAAATATAAAATGTTTTTTTTTTCATTATCGAAATAATTTTTTGGGACGATGATTCAGGGGTTTTGGTGTTGAGTTAAAGTTATGGATTAAGAGTTGTTATTGAAGTTTAGCTGCTTTTTATTAAGAGTTATAAACAGAGGGCGAAGTCGACTCGAAATTTGTATGAAGTCGAGTGAACTCAAGTCGACTTTTCCATACAAAATCCGAGTCGACTTCGCCCTCTGGTTATAAATGAGTTGATTGAAATTCCTCAATATTCCAGGTTCAAGTCCCATTAAATCTGATAAACCAAATTATAGAATATCTCCTCAGACTTCCTTTTTTTAGCACCAATAGCACCCAAATCCCCTGAACCAATCCCAAAAATATTTTTTAACATTCCATAAACTCCACCAAAAATTCAATTTCAGACAATTTCAATTAAAAAAAGTTCTATCGACGTGCAGTCAAGCATAAAACAAAAATCAGAGGGCGAAGTCGACTCGAATTTTGTATGGAAAAGTCGACTTGAGTTCACTCGACTTCATACAAATTTCGAGTCGACTTCGCCCTCTGTCAAAAATCAAGGCACACGATTCTATCAATTAATCAGATCTCCAATCTCTCAATATGAATCCATGTTTAATCGCATTAACTCTTTCTATTTGTTTTTATTTCCACTTGAATGCACTTTTTAAATCACGTAGAGCCACTAATTTTCATTTCTTGTGTTTTAACTGAGATTTTTAATTTTTTTTCTATCAAGCATGACGAAAGGAAAACGCAATGTAAGAAATTATAGGCATAGAGTGAGGCTTCTGGATTAGATAATTTTTTCGAGAAAAATGCAGCAGTAGCAGCATATAGACACAGTATGTTTCCGAAAAGAAGTGTATCATTTAGTGATTAAGACTTGTTCTTGTTTGTATGAGCTGGATTTTGTGGATTGGAGATGCAGATTGTCTAGAGGGATTATTGGGGATTTATGAAGGTTTTCAAGTCATTTTGAGGTTAGGATTCTCCAAAAGGAAGCGAAATTAAATTTAAATTTTGAACTTGCTCAATTTAATTAAGCCACACTAAGCTATAGCCTTTTCCAGCATCTAAAATGCGCTCTATCCCCATCCCCAACCACAAAGTCCAATCACAATATTCATTTTTTCGATGTTGAATTTATAATGAAAAAAAAAGAGTTTTAAAGAGAAAAACAACAAAATAATGATATACATCCTGAGTGTTCCAAGACAACAGCTACTGTTCACCTATCGTTTCGTGCTCGGGCAATCGCAGTCGCTTAAATTATTATCCGAGATTCTTTATGGACTTTCAATTACGTTTATTAATTTTCTTTTCCTCATTCTCCCTCCTTCTCTGCCCTGCTTATTGCATTGTAAAGAATACTTTTATTTTTTTTTGTTTTGTTTAATTTTTGTTCCTCGACGAACTTCTTCTTGTTGGACGCGATCACTACTCTCTTTTTCATTTCATCCAGAGCGCAGATGGAACAGAAATGAAAAATTCATGTTGTTAAAAATGTTGTGCGTTTTAAATTAAAAATGAATTCATGTGAGGAGGTTTGTGAGAGTAGCGCGGTTTTCGAGGACATTGGTAGGGTTGTGAAGGATGTTTTGGCGGGCAGATGGATAGTATTAGCTTGAGTAGGGTCCAATGTTAATTGTCAAACAATTAAATTAAGTTGAAGGAACAAAATTCAATCCAAATTAACCTCAAATCACAATATTTATACAAAAACCCGCTAATTAAGCATTCGATCAGTAAAAATATGCGATAAATTTCCAATTCCTTTAACAGTAAGGATGGTAAAAAATAAGTAAAACGAGAAGAGATTGCAATCAGAGAAGAGATTTTTCTTACATCAAATATATTAAATTTCGATTATGATCAGAAAAACGATACGAGAAAAAAGTAGAAGTTAAATATATTTTTTTGGTTAATGGAGCGATTACTGGCTATAAATTATGTTGTATTGGCTACTGAGAGATGCGATTATATGCCATTTCTTAATTTATGTATTTCAATTAAAATAAAATAAGAAAAATAAAAAGTTTCATATGTCGTACCTGTATGCAAAAAGAGATGATTCTTAAGGTTTGTCTGCTTGCTGAATCCTCTCGAACAAATGTGACATTTGAAAGGCCATGATCCACTGTGGACGTACATGTGTGAACGAAGGTCGCCTGGTGTTGGGAATGATTTTGAACATAAACTACATTTGTGTGGTTTATCCTGGTTTGAAAAAAAAAATGAATATATTGAAAAAAAAAATGAATAAGAATCGTGTTTAACATTTTTTCTTACATGAAGTGTTGTTATCATGCCATATGCTTGGTGCTACATGCATGTTTCTGATGCATTAAAGAAATTTATTTTTCAAGGAAGTGGTTTTAAAATGTACCATATTGTTCCAATATATAAATATAAAGTATATGCATGTGCAATTCTTACTTTAATAATAATTCTTCAAATTAAAGAAGAAATGAAAGAAACATGTAAAAACAATCAGTTACTTATTTCTCTACCTCAATAACTTATAAGATATGGTATTAAAAGCACTTAAGGTGAAGCATATGGCATTTTATCATATAATTTTCATTATTTATCGGTTTCATGTTCTCTTGTCCATGAATAATGAGAAAATTGGTGCAAAAATTCGGACTGTGATTTTGGTTGGAAAGTTTCAGCTGATAGCTCAGAGGCTTAAAAGCATTATCATTTCAACTTCACAGTGAATATTTTTTAAGGTCTGTATTTATTGATGTCTTACCTTTATGTGTGTCATTCTGTGGTAGTATAGATTACTGCTTGCTGTAAAGCGCTTGCCACAGATTGGACATTCTGGGGATTAGAAAAAAATTTTTTTGAGGTTAGAAATTTTTTTGAGAGTTTTGACGAGATTTTGGACTTACCGTGTGGTTTCTCGCCTGGATTTTCATTGGAAATTGGAAGAAAAACAGAAATTGAATAAATTAGCATTTTTCATTGATAAGAACTTAAGATTAAGTGTTCATCCTTTAGATGCATCCCTTTTAAAGGAGGTACATGCCACAATATTAAGACTATCCTCTAAAAATAGAGTATCCACCTAATTTTGCAACATTCCCTTCGCAAATCCCAAAAAAAAATCAATCAAACTCACCCGAATGAATTCTTCGATGAGTATTTAATGAACTTGATGTACTAAATCCTTTACCACAACCTGCATACGAACAGACATGAGGCTTCTCACCTATAAGTGTGATTAATATTTCAATTAATCATTATTTTATAAAGAGAAAATTGCATTTATAATTGATTGATATGCAAATATGAAGTCACGGTTGACTTCATATTTCATATCGGAATTAACATAGTGAGTTGCACAATCCAATAATGAGATTTTATGTGGATGTAATGCAAGAAATGTAATTATGCGCTTTAAAATTGCATTACTCAAGAATTTTGCAACTTAATAATTTCAATAAATCTCCAAATCGTACCTGTATGAACTCGTGTGTGTCTCTTCAATAGACTCGGCCTATCAAAAGCTTTTCCGCAAATTTCACACGGTAGCAAATTCCGTTCACCGCGAGGCGCTCGCTGCTTCACTGGTGCTGTAATTGTTGCGTCCATCAAATCACCCGAGCTACTATTACCCGATGATGTATATGAATCACCCGAAATTGATTTTCGTTCATCCTCTGTTGTCGGTGATGAAATTGGTGGTATAATATCGGCAACAAGTGACATCGATAAGTCGAGCGGTGAGTCTATGAATGGAAGCGTGATTCATGAATAAATATTGTAAAGTAATAATAATAATAACGAGTGAAAGAGAAATGTATATAGTACTCCTGTACGTCGACTTTTTGAAAGCCATTAAATCAATTAACACAAGAAATGCGGACAATTTGCGCAGTCATAACAACCTACGGGCTATGATGTGGTCGTGATGTGTGAGAAGAATTGACTAAAGTGTCAATATTTGTTGATGAGAATCGGAATTGTGTGGGAACTAGGCGAATGGATTTTTAAGGTTCTTAACGTTCCCTAAACTCAGTTTATCAAAAATTAATCCTTACCTTCTAAAATCGAGTCCATAGTACGTCTATAAAAAGTGTGTCTCATTCTGCCAAGAAACAGCTCCTCCGGTCTCTCAGGCAAATAAAAGGCTACAAGTTCTTGATGCATCGGAATTGGTTTGACAACTTCATAGATCACCTCACCGTTTATTTTTGTACAAACAATATTGACTTGCGGACCATAAACGTCTGCTGTTCTTAAGAATCGAATCCAATTACAATTTCGTACACTACGACCTGTTGTGTAGGTGATTTCATCGTAAAGTCCATATCGATGTCGAATCTGGAATGAAATTTATTTTTTATTTTTGGAATTAATTATTGGTATATGGCCAAAATTAAGTATAATGTCTGTAAAATGACTGACAAATGATGAAAATTATATAAATTAACGATTTTTCTATGCAAATTTTTTTCAGTTCAGATTTTTTATTTTATATCATCCGGATGCATTTTTATAGCGCAACATCTGCTTTTGAACCGTACAGTATTTTATTATTATTATTTTCTGCATCAAACACGTATTGCCTTTTTGCACTCCTTCATTATGATCCCATTATTCACTCAAAATGCCCTTATGTACTGTTCTCTTCTCGATTCTCGTTCCTTATTTTTTTTCTGAATGAATTAAGTGGTAGCATTTGTTCTTTTTTTTTGATCTCTCTTTTCGTAACAACAACGGATTGTTAAAAAAATACATTTATATTGTAAGAAAGGTAGGAAGGTAGAAGGAGAAGAAATGTACGTTACTCAATATACAGCTTAACAGTAACATATTGGAAAGGATCAAAAAGAAACGAAAAAAATTGCGCTTAAAAATAATAATAAACAGGCTGCTATAGATGCAGTTCTGGTGAGTGTTTGGATAGGAAAAAAAAAGTCATAAATTTATTGCCCATTTTAATTTTTTATTTGGAACTAAAGTCTAGTGTAAGGCATGAAATTGATGTTTGGAAATGAAATGTTTTATGGATGTTGATTGAATTTCATTTTTTTTTGAGTTGTAAAAATAATATTTTATTGTTGATAGAAACAACTGACGGTGCTAAGTGGTCAGAAGTTACATGCATTTATGGAAGATCTACCTTGATGTTTCGATTATTTTAATTGATTTTTTTTTTCTTTATTTCTGATGAAGTTCTTTGTCTAATTTGAAGGAATTTTTGAAGCATATGAGGAATGGTGGGTGTCTAAAAGATTATATTTAAATTTATAATGATTATCTGATATTGCCTAGTAATGAATTTTTATTGGAGGTCATTTCTGTTATGATTTCATGGAACTTATCTTATGTCTTGAATTTAAAAACGACTAAAATATTGAAATTTCTAATTATTTTTATCATTAAAACCTGATTGCTACTCATTCAACTTCCAGTAATCAATTTATGAACTAGCTTGCAATTTTATATTTTGTAATGCAAACAGTAAGTTGTGATAAACGATAATGTTTCTCATAGGGATCAAGTTCTGCATTGTTACAGTCTATTTTACACCTTATAATTGCTAACGATATGAAAATCAATTATTATTGAGTTGTTAATGTTCCTAAGTGGTAATTTTAAGCTATTAAAAAGTTTAGCACTTATTTTTCAAATTTTTAACTCTATGAACCTTGAAATTCAACTTTATGTCTCTGTATATTGTTGAAACTTTAAAGGGCTTGAAGTTTTAGCTACCCGAGCAACACAAACGCTGGATTCAATAGATTAATAATGTGTGAAGGGCCCAGCCTTTCAACTGGAGGCACTGCGATTCAAATTGGATTCAATAGATTATCTATCCTAAATCTACATACTAATCTTCTAAAATCACTCTTACATCCAAGAATTCTTACAATTTCAATAAATATCTCCTTTTCTCAAGCTTATGCCAACAACAAACCAATTTAACACCAACAGCAGCAGCTCAAAACATTTAAACAGTCAACGCCTTTATCCATTCGCTGTTATTGCCAATAATTCAAGCAATAATTTACAGAAAACTTTTTTTTCTCACTTCACCCCATTCAATAAGTTCTGTTATCAAAAACAATATACAATTAAAAGCTGTTTCCATAACAATTATAATGCAGGATGTAATTTCAATTGATTTTTTTTTTTTAGTATGTAAACTCATATTATAATTTGCACTTGTTAACTCGAAACAATAATCAGGGCAGTGATCTTAATATCGTTTGAAAATATATAAAATTACATGACTTAAACTTCACGTTTGACCTTTACTTTGTTGATTATTTAACATTTTTCATAATTATTTTCACACAATGAAATAAATTTTCTCATCAATGCGAAAATTTCCATACAATTCAGCGTGCAGAGAGAAAAGAAATGTTTAAGCATCTGCAGAAGTGAACGAGAAGATTGTTGAACATTGGAATGTGCGCATTTTTGCGTCGCGATCATGAAAAGAATCAATGAGTGACTATGAAGTGAGTTTTGATGGATTGTGAGCATAGATTGAGTTGCTGTTTGATGTTGGGGCGCATTTTACATGGATTTGTGGTTTTTGGGGTGTCGTTTGCTTTGTAATGCTGGTCTGAAGTATTAAATAGGTCACTTTTAATGAATATTGTTTGAACTTAGAGACATGAACTTAGAATTTTGAGATTCTAGTGCAAGTTTGGATATCTTTGAGTATTTTGTTAAAATTTTCTGAATTTTAAATATTAAGGAATGAATCTGAGTGCTACTCATACATAACCTACAAAATAAAAAATTCTAGAAATTTCGCTCAGACTGTTCTCATTGAGCATTTAAAACACATTGTCCATGCAAATTTAGTTTTATTCAGCACAAGTTCTTAATTTTCAAGCTGAATATTAAGATACCTCCAAATGTGAGCTATCCAGACCGACAAACCTCGCTTCAAAATAGCAACTCTTATTAAAATCAGTAAATGCATTGGCATTGAAGTGATTATAGAAAAGATTTCACTTAAAAATGTGCGTGCAATGATGACGATGAGAAAATATGTATCAAAATGCCATAAATGCACACCCGTAAATGAGAAAAACGAGATCTATTACACATTTTATATTTTATAAATTGCAATAAGCTTATTGCATCAATTGTTGATAATGAAAGTTGAAAAACTTTTTCTTCATGATCAGATAACTTATTTTTTTCATATTGAATGAATTAACACCGCATTTATTAAAGGTTAACAAACTTTTTAACATTATCAGACAGTTTTTCTTGCTGTTGGAATCGCACAATGCTATTTGTTTTTCTTTCTTATGAGTTTTATGGTAATGTGAAGTAATTACTTATAAGAAGCCGTACACACGAAATACTCTTTATGGTTTACTGATTTTCTTAAAGAAGTTTAAAAAAAGCCTTTAAGAAGACTTTTTTTTCTCACAGTCATGGGAGAGTGACTTTCGTCAAGACGTTCTCGCATTTCTTTAACGCACCCCTATGTGAACTTTTCTGTATTTGTATTAATAAAGAACTTTTTCTTTCTATCATATTCATTTGTTTCCACAATAATTGCTTCTTACTGCCTCTTCCCCAAATTTACATAATTTTGTTCCCATGGTTTTTGTACTTACATCATCTTCGCTGACTGTTGAGAATACATTTAATTTATCGATGCGAACTGTTCCTTGGAATGGATAGAATAAAGTTCCTTGTGATATTCTAGCGTTGCTCCATACAGTCACTGAGTCTTGTGGAACTTTTTCTGATGTCACGACGAGATTGAATTCTTGTGGGATTAGCACTAGATGATCCATTTTTAATTTTATTGTTTTTATTTTGCAACTTTTTCAATTTGGATGAATATTTTAGGATGAGAATTTTTATTTTAAATTCTCTTCATAATAAACTTTGTGTTAAAGTCTTTTAAATTTTTAAAAACCAATTGAAAGTTTTTTTCAATAATTTTAAGTTTTGATTTAAAATGTTCAACTTTTTATGTAATTTGAAAGTTTGAGTTTTTTCAATAAATGTTTTTCAATTTTTCACTTTTGACTTTAAATTCTTTGAAAAGCTTATTTAAATATTTCGGTTGAAAATTGTCCGTTAATTCAGTTAAAATTCAAATTTTTTTTTAAATTTCTAATTTTTCAATAGAAATTTTCTAATATATTCAAAAAAGTTCTTAAAACTTTAAATTCTTACAACTTATTCACTCAATTTTTAGAACTTAAAGTGCTCACTGTTGATTTTTCACAATTGTCAGTTAAATTTAACGTTCACAAAAGTCAGTTACTTTCAGTTACTTTATAGAATCTTTAAGATATCTTCTTCAATATTATTTTTGTAATATTTTCTAATAATGTTCTCGAAATCCGATAAAGATAAAAAAAATATCTTTAATATCTTTCCAATAAAAACAATCAATACAACAAAAAAATATCTTTATGAAAAAAATAATGATCGAGTTGAAACTTTATTTCACCTTATTTCTTCAACGTCTTAATGAATACTGGATACTGGTCGTTAAGATCACCAATAACTTACCATGACCTTACGTTAGTATGTAACAAATTGTATAAAAGCATAAGAAAACAGCTTACAAACACAAACGAAGCGTAAAGACAAGACAAGTGAATGTTTACAGGTGTTCGTTTAAGTACGAAGATCAACAATTCAAGACGTTTTAGATTTCTTGACTCCGCCTCCAATATTGGTAGTGGAACAGAAAATTGTGCAAGATCAAAAAATAAAAAAAAAGTCGAGAGAATTGAATAAAATTGAGAGCGAAATGCTTTTAGGAGATGAACAGAATGATTGAGACTTTTAAAGGTAATTATTGGATACTTTTATTCTTATGACTATGAATGATTGATTCCCTTTGTTTGTGGATCGCATAGCAATAATGCCAGCGTGACTAGTAGCCAACATTCTATTCAGAAATTAATCAAATTCTTTATAAATTCTCTCCCATTTTCCTTTAATCTTTTCGTTATTTTGCGTTGATTTTTGATTTTGATCTGCTTTAGTTTCAATCGCTTCATATGTCATTTTTTTCCTTTTCTGATTTCTGTCTATGATTGAGATTCTAATGGGCAATCAAAGATACATTTTTTTGTAGCAACTCTTAAATATAAAATAATCATAATCGATGATCAGTTTGGGTGATTTTTTTATCAAAACTTGACTTGAATAATGTTTTTATGATCCAAATCTGACAATTCTAGCACTGACATGCAGACATAAGCCTTAAAGATTGTCTTGAAATTCACTTTGCAAAATTTCGTACCAGATCTCATCAGTAATCTTAATTGCAACCTTATCAAGACAGTATCTCTAGTCATGTGGTTCAAAAACCTTATTACTAAGGTACTTCATAAGCGCTATCAATATGTGGTCAAATTTAGAAGTTATGAGGTTGCTACAGCAGTTTACTATCCATTCATTAAATGCCTTTGACGCAAATGTTCTCAAAGCAATTAAGATAAGATCTTCTTTTAAGGACATTTCTCCGATCTCTGTGTTGTAAATTTATGAGCGGATGGCATTTTTCTTGACTTTATCCTTCTGTTCAGGTTTTGTAAAGCTACATAGTTATCACATCACTATCATGCCTGTGTAACATAACCATAGGTCATTAAAAAGTCTATTTAGAAATTAATTAATAAGTTTTTTTTATATAGTTTTATAGCTTTATAGTGTGGTTCGTTGGCTTATTTATATTGAAATTCGATATTGGTCCTTGTTATATCGACAACACTTTATATAATGACTAAGAGATCGGTATTTGGTGGAATTCAATAGATTCTATCATCGATTAGGATCGCAGTGCCTTCAGCTCATCGCAACGTGGAGTAACACACCGCCTGGCTGTATCCTCTCTCTGGTGGTAGTCGAACCCAAATTCTCACAAAAAAGGGTTACAAACATCCGATATGATGCCTTTCCACGTGCGCAACAGAGGCCTTAGTCTCGCAATGGCAGATTCGCCTATATATGGCTCAATACTTCTGATTCTTCTCTACTTTTCCGACACCACACCGATAAAGACAAAAACTACATTATTCTACAAAACCTAAGAGTGGATATACTTTAATACCAGGCGCCTTAAACAAACTCAGCTAAAACTGCGCCATAAAACCCCAGCAAATAAGACCAATTAATCTTATTCATCCAGTAATCCACAAATTTATTCATATTTTTAGAGAGAGTAGAATCGACGTGAGGATTATCAGACTAATCTCTGACACATAGGGATTTCTTCTGTCTTTCCCCTTTTACTGCTACCATCGCCAGTATAAAGTTAAATAAAATGTTATAAATCACGACAGTGAGAGACCGAGATCAAGAAAAAAAAAGAGTTATTAAGAATCATCTGAAAGATTATTTAATTTATATTCTGTTTTGAAAGTAATTTTTTTTTTTAAGAAAATGAAATTCAGATACCGCTCTTCGTTTTCGATCGCTTATATCGCCTTTTTTTAAATACATTAAATAAAATGTATGTAAAGAAGGAGAAAAGAATAAAATTCCAGAAGCTATCCAAAAGGCCTGTTGTTAATTTGTAAACAGATATATAGAGCTACTGTGTATCATAATATTGGAGGAGAAAAAAAATAAGAGAATCCAAATGATTATATGCCTTTCTCTCCTCTTAGCTGGCTGCCTTTTTTTTTTATTTTCGCTTGAATTATTAACATTAATACAAGCTTCAGCCAAACCAGTATTTAAAAATATATTTTATTCATACATAATTTATATTGAGGCGAATTGGCTGCAACTAATCGAAATAAAGCATTCTTTTAAATCAAAAACGTTTTTTTATCAAAATAAAAAATAAAAATATTTTCATGTTTTGTACTTTTTAATTGATCTTTACTTTAAGCTTAGTTTTTTGTGTAGTGGATGGAATGAGGGTGCTTATTGTCCTGAAATTGGATATCATAGCAATAAAACAGATTTAGCTATTATTGGATAGAATATAATAGTAGATTTTTAGGTATATACCATCCAGGGTAGTGTATGGCTAGAGCATACCCTAAGATTAGAATAGAATAGAATGTAATGTAGGGTTTTGCTAATAGCAAAAGCGGCACTGCGATCGATGATCTGTTGCACCATCCCAAGTCCCCTATGCTAGAATTCCAATGTCCTTAATAAAGCCAATAATGTCCTGATAATGCTGTTTATTTATATCCTCATCATTCAAATAGTCCTCATCAAAATGCTTGACACGTTGTCCTCGTAATGACCTACATTTACAAAGTATATGAATGATTGTTTCATACCCTAGGATTCACTCAAGTAACCAATTCTTGTCAGTACTAAAGTTTTCATTATTATTTAATCAAAAAAATCACCTAGTATCAAATGCGATAACTGAAGACAACCTCGGTTAGGGATATACCTTTTTAAATTCTTAGTTCTTAGTTCTTAATAATGTGGAATGGTTTTAGCTTTATGATGATGATGATGATGGGTTCCTATTACTCCACTATGAAGCGTAGGGCGTCCATAAAGCATTTTTAACGCACCCGATTCTGGGCCAAAGCTGCTATTTCCTGAAGCATCTTGTTCTGTTGTTCCGCCTCCCGTTCAACAGTTGTACGCCAAGTAATTCTCCGTTTTAGCTTTATTACAATCTTAATTATTGTTCAAATCTTTTCCAAATGTCCAAAGTTCAATCTATGAACTTTGCCAATTAAGGACCAAAACGACTCAAACCTTAATAATTACTTTATTTAATCAATATAGCTTAAAGCTCTCAAATACCCACTCCTTGAATATTGCGCTGCAATAACCTCACTCAATCCCAATTACATTTAATGAATCTTTTCGTTTTCTCTCTTATCCTTTAACAATTTGTTATGAGAGGAGGCTAGCAAATGCCATAAATTTTCAGACTCGCCCGATTAAAAGCGGAAAAATGCTTCTGTTCAATTCAATAGTTGTAAATAAAATTGAGAATAAGGCATGGAAAAAATTCAATTCATTTTTTAAAAAAAATTGCTTTTTTCATCAAAAAAAAATAAAGTTTCATTCCAATTTAATTAAAGTTTAATATGTGCAATACAGTTGCAATTTATTCGTTTATCATAGATCATAGACAATTCTTATGGGAAGAAAAATTCTTCTAATTGAGTTGATTTTTTTTTTCGCAAACAGAAGTAAATAATTCAATTTTCTTGTATGGCAGAATAATGTGTATTATCGGAATCAAATGATCTTTTTGAAGCTTTGCCGCGTACCTTAATGAATTGTATGTTTTGCATATATATACATATTGTAGAGGTAGATAAGGCAAATAAAGAATTTCCTGCGGTATACGGAGACAGCACAGTCGAGATTTCGTATGTGGAAAAACTCATTAGTGCTGATTTTCCTTTTTTTACAAAAAAAAAGATTTTTATTGCTTTGACAATTTGTTTGTTTAATTTTTACGATTTCTGTTTGTCTTTTTGTTAAGATTGTGTTCTTAAGATTCTATTCTTGGATTTTGAAAATTAGAATTTAGTGTTTTGTGCTTAATTTCGTCGTATTCTTTAGATGCAATGAAAACTTTTGACAAAATCAGATTAAAGTACACTTATATCTTCTAGTATCCTCTAATTTTGGTTTTCTAAGTCCGTTATTTCATTAATCCACATAAATTAATGTTTTATTAAAATTGAGGCAGGAAAACGCGAGTAATAGAGGGGTTCGTTCACTTATGACGTCCAGGAGGGGGGGGGGGGGCAGCAAAAAAGAACAATAGTAATTTCTGGATATTCATTGTTCTTTTTTGAAAAATGACCGTTAATTTCGAACGTCATAAGTGAACGACTCTAGAAATAAATTGTAAGTTTGCAATGAGCATGACTTAATTTTGTGATAAGTAATGCATCGCATTTTTTCTAAAGCAACGTTTCAATACAGAATTGAATTTTAATCAAAGTCGAAGCAATAAATAAATTTCAAAGTTTTCAACTCCTTTCCACATAACTACTTCTAGTTATTAAATTTATCTATCGACCCCCCGTCTGTCAATTCCATTTTTTGATACAAATTAAATCTCAATATTAATTATTCTTGCGTCAAAAAATGAACAAACGCTGATTTTATTGCTGAATTTCAAAAGTATTTAATCAGAAGTCAGGAAAAAAATGCTTTATTCTCTTTGATGAATTAATTATATTGTGGATTTTATTTTATTTTTTTGCAATTCATAAACGTGTAAATATTTTAAATGCAATCATTTATATTTGCATTTTCATTTAGTAAAAAGTATTCAAATTAAGAAGAAAAATTTTTCATTCACTAAAGAATGCATCAACAAAACATGTGAGTAGCCAAAGAAGAGATTTAAATGCATGCGAGTTTGTTATGCAGCAGACAAGGAGTGCGATGAAGTGCAATCAATAACCGTCAATGCAGGTAATTGCATTTTCGTGAAACATCTACCGTATTAAAAGAAAAGAATATTCCTCAA